CTGGTCTACAGAGCGAGATCCAGGAGAGGAGCAAATCTACACAGAGAAACCCTATCTCGAAAAACCAAATAAATAAATAAATAAATAAATAAATAAATAAAAATTCTCCTCTTCAGAGAGGAAGAACATGCCCCAAGAGGGAAACCAAGGTCAGCTCGTTAGAGCAAAAATGCCACTGCTTCCCTGGAGCTGGGTAGGAAATCTAGTATCAGCTGCCTGTTGTAGCACAAATCCTAAAAGCTCTTATAAATAAAATCAAATCCGGGAGCCAGGTATTGGGTTAAAGCTGGAAGATCAGAGGAGCAGAACAAGCCACAGCTTCTTCACCTCGCCAATTCCTCAGCTGATGCTGTTTTTTAAGACTGGAAGCCTCTGTGTCCTCATCCAGAATGAATCTCAGCTGAACTGATGCTAAAAGCCTAAAAGCTTAACCAGACTCTAGTTCCTGGTCCTCACACCGTATATACCTTTCTGCCTCCTGCCATCACTTCCTGGGATTAAAGGCATGAGTCACCATGCCTGGCTGTTTTCAGTGTGGTCTTGAACTCACAGAGATCCATCTGGATCTCTGCCTCCAGAAGGCTAGAATTAAAGATGTGAGTGCCACCATTTTCTGGCCTCTATGTCTGTCTAGTGGCTGTTCTGTTCTCTGACCCCAGATAAATTTATTAGGGTACACAATATTTTGGGGAACACAATATCACCACAGCCTATTTCCCTGTTCTATCTCCTCAAAGGCTCTGCACAGAGTTCTCTCCATGCTCCTGTCTCAATTCTGGTGTTCCCAGCCCAGCTAACAACAAGGTGGTGCCAGGAAGCTACAACCAAGGAGTAAGAAGTGAGGCGGAAAGGGGAGGCAGAACAGGGGCCTCATGCCACCCTTGGGGACACAGTGGCTCCGTCTCAGCTCAGAGCTCTGGAGGCTGACGTTCTTCAGTCATTCACTTAGTGAGTGGGAGGGGCCTGGGCTGTTTCTGGGTTCATTAGCACTTCCTTCTTCTCCACACACGTTGATGGAAAGTCACAGAGATCCTCAGTGCTGAAGATCCAGGCATCTGCCTGGGGAAGCCTTCTACAGCGTAGGAGGCTCTGGAGAGAGGGCGCGGCTGCTGTGGTGTCTGCACTCCTGCGTCCCTTTACAGGGAGCCGCACACTGTGGCTGCTGCAGAGGGAGGCAGACACTCTCAGAAGAGCAGTGATCGTCAGGTAAGCACACAGCACATGCTAACCCAGGGGCGACAGCAGATGAAGGACATCTGAGGGTCCAGGGTGGGAAGAGCTGCCCCAGACGCCTGTTAGAGGAACT